TAGTGAGCAATAAGCCAAAAGAAAGGAGCTAAGGTTTATCATAGGGGAGGGATAGATATAAAAGAAGAAAAATACCTGGTCTGACAGCACATTGAGGAAGCACTGGCTGTCCACAGAACAGAAAGGAGATAGGGAAAGGATGAGCAAGTGGAAGGGTACATAAAGCTCTAAGAAGGTGGCCTAGTGCCCAGGTCTTGTTTCCAAAATACCATTTATTAAAAAAAGAAAAAGAAAAAGAAGGGGAAACCAGAGCTCATTGGAGAAGTAGCTGATTCCAGGACTGCGGCAGGAAATATCTTGTGCTACAGAAAAGTAAAGATGTGCTCAAAACAAGAAGGAGGCAAGTCAGAGGACACCGGATCCAACCTGGAGGAGCTCCCACAGGCCAAAGCTAGAACAATTTGAGCAACAAAGTAAGTAAGTGATAGTGCTGAATTATAATCTATAGACAAAATACAAAATTATTATTAGGTAAACGCCACAGTAATAACTGCAGGTAAGATCCACTGATGGATGATAAAATCAGCAGGCAAAAGTTTGAGGAGAAATAGGATATTAGCAAAGTCTCACTCCCAAGACAGTTATCAATTACAAAGGGAAAAACAGTGACTTTTCACAGGAGAAATCTGGTAGACACCATGTTAACCAAATGATCAAGGATACCCATCACCAGTAATGAGACATACTGACATCACGTACCTCCTGATTCTATGAATTGAGAAGGATACACATCACTTCTGTGGGTATTTTGTCAAATATTCATAACTTCAGTGTAATCATGAGAAAACATCAGGAAAAAACAAATTGAGGGACATTCTGCAAAGCAACTGAGCAGAACTGTCTACACTGTCAAGGTCATGAAAGGCAAGGGAAGACTGAGGAACAGTCACAGGCTGGAAGAGAATAAGGAGACATAACGGTTAAATGCCAAGTGGGATCCTGGATAGCACTGGGGAGCAGAACAAAGAACACTAGGAGAAAAAATTGGTAAAAATCACATAAGGTCTGTAATTTAGGTGATAGTATTGTACTCATGTTAATTTTCTAGTTTTGATATTTGTACTATAGTTACATGTGTTGTTAACATTAGGGGAACCTGGATGAAGGGTTTACATGAACTATATCTACTGTTTCTGCAACTTTTCTGGTAAGTCTAAAATTATTTTAAAAGAAAATATAAAACAAAAAATAGCAAAGTGGCACAGATTCAAATATCTTCTGCCCACCCCATCCAAAACTGCTTCTTCCCTAACACTGTCGTCTTCCTTCTCCTCTATATTTTTCCTCCCGTTTACTGCTACCTAAAATAGCAAACATTTTACTTATTTATCTGATTGTCATTTACTGCTACCTAAAATAGCAAACATTTTAACTGATTGTCTCATTTATCTGATTTACTTATTTGTCTTATTTATCTGATTATCTGCTTACTTATTTACTTACTTATCTGATTGTATTTACTTATCTGATTATCTCTCCCACCAAAAATTAAGCTCTATGAAGACAGGCATTTTTGCCTATTTTGTCCATGGATGTATCTACCATCTAGTGTGGTGCTTCTAACAAGTCCCCATTTCCTCTTTAGAGCATTTCATTCATCTTCTCATCACATTTACTACTAAGTAACTACTAAGTACAAGACTTTGAACTAGGCATCAAGGGGATGCACATTAGCAAGACATGACCCCTCTTCTCAAAGAAGTTACAGTTGAGTGGGAGAGAGAAAACATTTGAACAACTACTTACAGGGTGGAAGAGGATAGGATTCCCACCAAATTAAGTATCAAATGCTGTGGGCATTTAGAGGAGGGAGGCCTATGTAGAGTGAGAAGTAAAAGAAAAGATTTCATGGAAGTTCTCAAACTCAGCAAGGCCTCTGAATACTTAGAATTTGGATAAGCAAAAAGCAAAGGGGTGAGGGACCGATATACTGGGAAGAGAGAACTGGGTAAGCAAATCCAAACTCCAAACATGCAGGAAAGAAGAAGCAAAAGGCACAGAGATCATTCTGGTTGGCTGGAGCACTGGATGGGGAAAGGGAAGTATGGAGAGCAAAGACTGGAACAGCAGCTGGGGGCTGACTGTGCATGGTCTAGTGATCCAGTCCAAGGGCTCCAGACTTGATCTGGTAGCAACAGGGCACTGACCTCTAGATAGTTTGGAAGATGAGGAGGATGTTACTAGAGCTCTGCTCTACAAAAATTCTTCATGGAATTTTAGAAGATGAAGTCTAGACTCTTAAGGATTGCAAGAGATCGTTGGGATCATCCTCTGTAACTTTTTAGGATAGGAATTCTTTCAACCGCTTTTCCTATGTTATGGAATTGAGTCACCCTTCCATCTGGTGCTCTTCTTACACTTACCATCCAGACTTTATGGTGATTATTTTGTGATTTCATGGAGCCACGTATGGACTGCTGAGTGACTTACGTTGTCAGGAAATATCTCCTTAGGATGAACTAATACCTGTCCTGGTTCAATTTCTACCCACTGTCCTCTGGCCTACAATGAACTGCTTAGTTCCTCTTTTACAGAATCATCCTTAAAGTAGTTGAACACAATTTTTCTATTTTCCCGAAGTCCTCTCTTCTCCAGGCTATACTACCTCTCTTCCTCACCATACTTGAATTACAGGTTCTTTCCAGTAACTTCGCCTGCTTCTGCACACAGCTTGGTTTACTAATGTGATGCTCAGCCACGTTGCTCCCATATCCTACAGTGCTCTTCGGAACATCTATTTCAGGCTTGTTAAATATCCCTACATTCTCAGTGCCTGCATGGAGTCTTCCGTCCTTACTTCTTTAAGTGAAACTCAGCTCTCCCCTTGGGACTCTGGTTCCCCCAGAGCCTTTGCAAGTTAGAAGCTGCTCATTCTTTCACATTGCAGACTTTAGGGTCTGGAGGTGGGGTTGGTGCTTTGCTTTCATTATTGGTTCATGATGGTTTCCTGGCTATTATTCCTCTACCCTTAAACAGAAAGTTCTGCTCCTATGAGGCTGGTACTAGCTTCCTCTGGTCCATGCAGCTGCCACCTACTGCCTTCCAGGCTCTCTGGTCCTGTGGACTCCAGCATCTGGCTCACAGTCTTTCTTGCCACCCCATGGCTTATTACCTGAGGGACTATGAAGCCTATGTGAATGACCCATCCTCGGCTTCCCATTCATGAGCTGGCTCAACCACACTGACTTCCATTCATAGGCAAAGCACTTCGGCCCCTTGCTCATGGCCAAAGCCAGACCGTGTCATCACTGAGATGTGCTCCACTTCTGACGTCTTCAGTCTAAATATACTCTTCTTCAGCCCCATCTCCATGACTTCCACCGTACCCACTCTTCGCTGGCATTCAAATCCCCTTCCCGATGCCTCTGTGCCCCTCTCCTTCCAGCCTCCTGATAGCTCCACTTCTCTTTCGGTTTAGCTCAGACACCAAGATCCACCACTTCCTGGAAGCAGCCACTCCAATCTTCATGGATTTCTGTACTGGTTCCCATGGAGTAGTTCAAGTAAACTGGAAAAAGCACGCATGCACACCCACATGCCCTCAAAACAAAAAAACCCTCTGAAGTCTTACTTTATGTAAGAGTGGAAACCATATGAATTCCCTACATTTAGAGAACTGTCAGGAAGCATGGCAAGTCCAAGCGGGAAGGTCTGGGGAGCTGTAGTCAGTGTTCATGTTCCTGCCACACGGTGGTGCCATTCCAGCTGATGAACACGAACCCCGCTGCCCTTGTCCTTCCCATGCTCTAAGTGGTTATGATGACTCACGTGCTATTATTTTACAAACTCTGTTGTTATAACTGAAAATATTTTCCTCTCCTACCACAATCTATCTCTCTCAAGCATTCATAAGCAGTGCTGTTCTGTGATAGTGCTGGAAACACGGCCCCCTAAACAGTAACTCTGGGACAGAAGTTCGTTGTGATAAAACACTGTGATGAAGAAGGCCACAAGTCCACTAGGATTCCCTGTGTTTTTAATTTAGGAATGAGCCCTCTAAAAAAATTAGAGGTGATGAAGGCAAACATTAACAAGAAGCATTAAAGCAAAAATAGGCTATAGTGCTGTACATTCCTGTGTCCCTGCAGAATGTTCCCTTCACATCTTTTCTTATGAGAAAATTAGTCTTGGGTATGAGTTTTATATCATGAGATCACTTTGGAAACACACTGACGTGCAAATGGAAGTGCGTTTTTGTTTTTTTAATTTGCAGAGAGAGCGCGTGCACGAGCAGGGGGCGCGGCAGGCAGTGGGAGAGGGAGAAGCAGGCTCCCCACTGAGCAGGGAGACTGATGCGGGATTCGATCCCAGGACCCTGGGATTATGACCTGAGCCAAAGGCGCCCCTGGAAATGCCTTCTTAAGATACAATAGTTCCCCTACCTATCCAAGAAATGCTTCTCTTTCCAGAGACACATGCAGGCAGGCAGTGAACAGCGTGGGGATTCGGAGCGCAGACTTTGGAGCCAGCCTGCCTGAGCATGAATCTCTCAGTTCCAGTTTTCTAGTTGTGTGGTTTTGGGTAAGTCATTAACCTCTCTGTGCACCTGAAAAGTTAGGGCAACGCACTACCTACCTCTAAGGCTCGTGAGGCTGGGATGAGTTAATAACTAAGACACTAGAGCTCCACGGAGCACTGAGTACACACCACGTGTGGGCATCACCTCCACCAGCAGTGCCTTCCCATCAACCCCTGATACTTATAAGACCGAATTATTTCACTGGGTCAAAAAAAAGTAAGGTGCTTCTTTATTCACAGTGTATGAATTACTCACAGTATATGAATGTGTTAGTCCTTCTTTGGCTGTTTTCTTTGGGAAGACTGTCAGACTCCCTCTGCATTGCTGTTCTGTGTACCAGTATGAAGTAGAGGAGGCAGTATTTAAAGAGCCTTTTCTAGCACAAGTACTAGTAAGTGGGGCGACTCGGACTAGAGCCTGCTCAGACATGAATGCTTAGCCCAAGCGATCCCCCAGTGCGGGTTTCCTTCCCCGGTCTTACCTTCAGCCGGTCTTTGGGCAGCGCGACAGCCCCCTGCTTGATGATTTCCAGGACCCGTTCCACTGACAGCTCAGCTCCAGCCTGCAGTAATCGTGAGCTGAAGAAGGTGATCACCTGGAATGGAAAGTATTCTTTTTTAAACAAGAAGATGTACAAGCCGTGTTTTCAGGAAGTGCCTTGCTCACATGGTGGTCCCACTTCCTAGAGTGACCTGGCTTGACTTCATGAGCTCTCCTCTGCGCGGGCCTGTCTGAAGGGGTCTGATGACTGCATGAGAGCCTGCTTCTGACCACTCCAGGTTGATGACCCACATTGTGGCTTCGGCAAGCCTCTGGAGTTCTGCTCTTCCAAGGTGCGGCCTCACCTCTCATTTACTTAGATTTCAGTTAGACGGCAGCCCCCCTCAGAAGGTGGGAAGAGAAAGCTAAAGCTTAAAACCTGTCAATTTTGAGGCTTACTAATAACTCTCAAAAAAAAAAAAGGCTTAATGAGAAAGGAATTTGAAGCTAATGGCTAAAATGATGTTTGGGGGATCATTTATGAATTTAATTTATTCACCACACTCTTATCCCTGAGCAACAGGGATAATGAACAACAAGCTAGAACTTCCTTTGTTTCGTGTCCCAGCACAGCCTGAACTGTGTAGCAAGATGCTAATAACACAGGAGATTTCTGAACATAACACTGTCCCTCAAAACTAAAAGAATGTCATTATTTTTTAGGGAAATCATTTTAAGATGACGATGTTAATAAATCAAGAAGACTATACATCTTTTTTTTTATTCAACAGAATAACACAAGTATTTATAGTCAGACATGCAAAAATATAAAAATGTTTTGTTAAAAAATTAAACATTTCCATTTACAGGTTTTCTATTTTATATGTAAAAGACAAAGGTAGTTTAAAAAGATTACCTAACTATAGAAAAAAAATAGTTTTTTATACTCATTAAAATATGATCATGTTACACAGCTTCCCTCCACCCACCATACTATGGACCTGGATGATTAGCTATCCTATGTCTTACTAATCCTGAAGGCTTCACATTATCAACAGCAAACACAGTATTGGTCACAGTAAGAACACTGTTTATCAGAGTAAACCCCAATCCATAATGCAGACATGCTGCTTGATAATTTCTGTGCATCCCTCTGTTGAGATGAGACTGGTTCATCATTACTTCTACCCTGTAATGTAGCACCTGTTCTAGGATGAGGGGGACATCAGCTCTGCCATTTCCTTCTTGTCACGTGTACTTGTATTGCCTTTGATTTGTGGTTCTTTTGCAGGAACCATACCAATCCTCCATTTTAGAGGGTTTACTTAGTTAAATCTCGATATTATAACCATCAATAATATACAAGGACCTATAAGTGAATGAAAGGTGAGTGTGCCAGCCAAGCCTTCCAGGTTGAGAAGCCCCTCTCCTCCTCAGGATACCCGGAGTACCGCAGCTGACACAGCTAAAGCCTGGCAGCTTGCCCGTGCCGATACTAAGAATTAGGAAAACTCCTTCTGTTTATTTTTAGACGAAGAAAGAAAAGCTCTGATCTATCTTCCCATGCTTCTATGGACTGTGGGTGCAACCTCTGGGGTATGTGTACCCATCCACTTTGGAGATTGCTGATGGAGATAACAAAATGTGTATAATCAAAGCTAAGTAGCCTGCACAATGTTCAAACACGGATACTTCAGACCACCGCGAAAGAGTACTGACATGTCACATCATCAAAGAAGGAAGTAATGCAATGGGAATCTACTTTGGTTCACTCTGTGGTCTACACAGACTTGCCTCTAAGCCTCAAGGAACTCGTGTTCCCACCAGAAAAGCTGTGGAGTAGGCAAGAGACTCAGTTTCTAAGTAAGTTCCTTTTTTCAAACTGGCTCTCATTTTTATGTCCTAAGCTGATATTCAGTTCTTGAATCTGAACGCACACGACTTTAAAAAATGATAAAACTACCAACTTCCAGGAGAGAAGTAAATTTATGTATCAAAAACGAAGGGAATGGACATCTACTGCATGTTTACTATGGACCATGAGCTCCTCTATTAATTAATTCTCATCACAATCCAACGAGCTCATAAAAGCCCTGTCCTACAGATGACTCTACAGGATCAGAAAGAGAGCAGCTTGACCCAAGTTAGCCAGGTAAGTGTCCAGAGTGGGACTGGTATTTGGATGTTCCTTCTTACTTTACCATGTTGGTCTCCAGCAATTCTTGAGTAACAAAAGGCTTAGTTTTCTTAATGGAAAATATTTGAGGTGAAGGGTGTAAGTTGTGTAGCCCCAAATTTCATTTGCAGTCAGGCTGCAACACTAACAAAGAATGTGAAACAATTTATTCAAAGATACAACTTATATTTCCTATCACACAGCTAGAATTCTGTAGACAACAGTGTATTTAGTGATAATGACTTTAACAGTTAGGTGGCTTTTATCAACTTTCATAGGAACCATTAAAATTGTTAAGATTGATGAACTTTTTCCCCTCTGAAAATGTTTGCAGAAGATACAGTCAATAATAGAAAAAATTTAGAGTGAAACCTTTAGCGAAATGGGAATGAATGATACGTTAGTGCAATTCAAAGGCAACCTTTCAGAGGAAGGTTCTTCTCTGTGGGTGTTACACAGCTTCCCTCCACCCACCATATTTGGCCACAATTCCTGAAATCTAAGTACAGCACATTACCTTCAATTATGCTATTAGTTGTGAACAGTAATTATCCAAAGTCATGTTCTGATTAATCAGCTGCACCCTTTGAGTAATGTCAAAATCACATTTAACCACTTATTATGAAACCTGTGAGTGATCACTAGAACACAAATTTATAGAAAGGAGAAGCTTAAAAAAAAAAAAAGAAAGAAATGAGAAGCTTTTGTAGGGTAGATGAGGGTATGTATTAGACAGGCATTCTTGCTTGCTAAATGGCCACTCTTCAAGAGGTAAAAGTAGAGAGCTAAGCAGGTTTCTTTTCTTTGATAAAAGACAATAAACATGTTTTGAAAAGTAAAATACACATGTGTTTTCTCATTGATTCTTGGTTTTTCCTCAAGTTTTTGTGTCTTAATCAAGACATGTGTTAACAACCTATTCAGTGGGAGAGATCTCTAGAAGATTTACAAAGAAAATAGATATTTTCAAGAAAGACACAATGTAATTGGAGAATAAGAAGCAGATTAAACAGGCGTAATTAAACAGATTAGACATCATGGTAGTGTAGACTGTGAAGTGCTCAAAGTCAGAAGGCGTAGTTTGGGTCCTGCCTCTGATACTTACGAGCTACCTGTCTTATAGAACTCAGGTTCTTCCACATGCAGCATCATGCAGTGGTTTAGAACACCTACCAGGTGTCAGAAGCTTGGGTTTAATTCCCAGCTCTGCTTATAAACGTAGACAGGTTATTTAACTTCTCTATGCCGCAGTTTCCTGATCTATAGATGAGGAAAGACAGAGTGCCTGCTCATGGAGGGGGTACTGTTAGAATTAAGTAAGTTAATACCTTCGAAGTGCAAAGAACAATGCCTGGCACACGGTAAGGGCTCATGAAATGTCAGCTTCTGTCATTATCATTAGGTGTTATCTCAATATCTTCATTTATAAAATGAAAAGCTGCTCTACCTACCACATAGGAAACAATTATAATACATGTGAAACTTAAAGATAAATCAAACCAGACAGGAGTAGCAAGCATGATCTACCGAAAGTAAATTCCAGGAAAGTCTGCTGGTTAAAACCAACATGATCATTATCAGTTTAATACATTACTGAGGGTCAATTTAAAACTCTTCTATTTTTACTTGGTGAATTTATGTATAACCTTCCTCTTTCAAAAAAATTTGTATTTTATTATTTCCAGAAAACTTAAACAGTACAATGTCGAGGAAGTTTTCATAGTTTGCAAAGTTTTCTTTTATCATGAAAGAATGCTGAATTTTGACAAATGTTTTTTCCGCATGTATTGAGATGATTGTATGGTTTTTATTCTTTAAGTCTTTTAATATTGTCAATTACATTAGCCTTGAATTCCTGGGATGCATGATAACTGAGCATGCTGCATTATTCTTCTGATACATTGCTAGATTTGATTTGTTAATATTTTGTTGAGGATTTTTTGTGTCTGGGTCTATGAGTGATATTGACTTATAATTTTCTTTTCTTGTAAGGTCTTTATTTAGGAGTGGCATTAGGGTAATAATGTCCTCATAAAATGAGTTGGGAAGTATGTCTTCTTCTTGTATTATCTGGATGAGTTTGTACTGAAATAGTAATATTTCTTTCTTAAAGAATTTCTTAAAGAAATTCTTTGGTAGAATTCAAGGGTGAAGACATCCAGGCCTGGAGTTTTCCTTGTTGGAAAATTTTTAAGTATTCATTTGGTATCTTTTAAAGATATAGAACTATTCAGATTATCTATTTCTTCATGAGTAAGCTCTGAAAGTTTGTGCCTTTGAAGGAATCTGTCCATTTCATCTAAGTCATCAAATTCATCACCAGAAACGTATTCATAATATTACCTTATTATCCTTTCAATGATATCCCGCTATCATTCCTGATACTGGTAATCGTGTTTTCTTTCCACTTCTTGGATTAGTCTGGCTACAAATTTATCAGTTTTATAGCGTTAGGTTTTTTTCTCTCTCAAATAACCAGCTTTTGGTACTACTGATTTTCTTTTCTTTCTTTTTCAATTTCATTGATTTTTTGTTCTTATTTTTATTATTTCTTAACTTTTTCTTGCTTTGGGTTTAATTTACTCTTTGTAGTTTCTTAATGTGGAATCTTATTTAAGACCTTTCTTCTTTTCTAATAGAAGCATTTAATACTATAAATTTCCCTTTAGCTGTATCCCACAAATTTTGATACACTGCATTTTCTTTTTTGCTAACTTTATTATTTTTTTTTTTAAAGATTTTACTTATTTATTTGACACAGAGAGACAGCCAGAGAGGGAACACAAGCAGGGGAAGCAGGAGAGGGAGAAGCAGGCTCCTGGCTGAGCAGGGAGCCCAATGCGGGGCTCGATCCCAGGACCCTGGGATCATGACCTGAGCCGAAGGCAGACACTTAACAACTGAGCCACCCAGGCGCCCCTATTATTACTATTTTTGCT